GAGAGCAAGGAGAACAAGTAAGTAGCATTTTAGTTTAGTAATTACATGTATTCAAGGCCAAAGGCTTGAGGGGAAATTTCCGGTAGAAATGGAAGCCAGTGGAGACAGTAACCATCCTCGATGCATTGAATTGTTGCTTTAGGTTGGCATAAATCATGCATTAGTCTACATTTTTCTAATATACCCCCAGTGAAATAATTTTGTAGATTATATTCATGAGAAATGTACAAACTGGCACCAAACTTAAAGTGCAAATGACAGGCAATAAGGGTTTCGGGGGTGAAGTCACATTTCTAATTAAGTTTGTAGAAAATGTCCTTGGAGGGTGACATTATCCACTGTGACCAGGATTGTGGTAAAGGGGAAGTTATACCCCAGGGCTACGGGGCAAAAGCATCTCCACAGCTAGGGGACAAGCCTCAGAGTTGTGTTTGTCTGACAGGCGTCTACTAGAAAAGTCTCAGAGGGTGGAAGCCATCATTGCATCTATGCAGGCTACAGGTGCAGAGGAGGCACAGCTGCAGGAAATAGAGGAGATGATCACAGCCCCTGAACGCCAGCAACTAGAGACTCTAAAACGCAATGTCAACAAGTAAGCATCATACACTTCAGACCTATGTTTCAAAATACCTTCCATACAGATCCACCCCTCCAAGTTTACACAAACAAACCTAAACTCACTACCCTCTTTTCCAGCTCAGTTAACAGGATCTAATCCACCTATTTCCCTAAACTGAAAACTTTAACGACATCCTCAGCTTCTCCTCCCTCACCACACACTTGTTCACCGAGGTGGTTGGTTTTACTTCCATGTGTCTCAAATCTGGCCTTCCATCTCAGTCCCCATGCAGGCCTTCGCCACCTCTTCCCTAGATCTTCACAATCACCTTCCCCTTCAAACCATCTCTTATAATGCTCTCAAAGTTACTATCTTTAAAATGACTGATAATACCACTCTCCTACTTTTTTTTAAATATGTTTTTATTGATTTTTTTTTTTTTAGAGAGAGGAAAGGAGAGAGAGAGAGAAATATCGATGAGAGAGAAACATCACTCGGCTGCCTCCTGCACAACCCCTACTGGGGATCGTGNGAAATATCGATGAGAGAGAAATATCACTCGGCTGCCTCCTGCACAACCCCTACTGGGGATCGTGCCCACAAACTGAGCCACACCTGCCGGGGCTCACTCTCCTACTTTAAATGCTTTATTAACTCCTAAATTTATAGTGTAAAGACCAGACTCCTCGGCGTGACATTTAGGATCTTTTATAATTTCATAGCAGCCTGTTCCCCAACTTCATTTCCTTTAGTTCTCTCCGTTCACCTTAACAGGGTTGCTCTGAATCTGTAGATCACTTTGGGGAGTATTGCCATCTTAACAATATTAAGTCTTCCAACCCGTGAACATGGGAGGCCTTTCCATTTATTTAGGTCTTCTTTAGTTCCTTTCAACATTGTTTTGTCATGTTCTGTGTTCAAGTCCTGCACTTCTTTTGTTAAATTGATGCCTAAGTATTTTATTCTTTTTTTAATGCAATTTCAGCATTTCCTTAATTTCATTTTTGAATTGTTAATTGCTAGTGTATAGGAATAAAACTGATTTTTTTTAAGTATTGGAAAAAATTTTTTTATTGATTTTTAGAGAGAGAGAGAGAGAGAGAAACATCAGTGTGAGACAGAAACATCAACTGGTTGCCTCCTGCACGTGCCCTGACCGGGGATCAAACCCACAGCCTGTATATGTGCCCTGACCAGGAATCAAACCCACCACCTTGTGGTATACGAGATGACACTCCAATCAACTGAGCCACACCAGCCAGTGCTAAAACTAATGTTTGTGTTTTGATTTCACATCCTGCAACTTTTAAAAATTTATTTGTTGACTCTAATAATTTTTTTGCAGATCCTTCTAGACTTTTCTAAGTATAGGATCATGTCAACCTGAATGCCTTTTCTTTTTCTTACTTAATTTCCCTGGCTAGACCCTCCAGTAAAAGGTTGAATGGGTGTGAAAAGCAGACATCTTTGTCTTATTCCTGAACTTTTTAAATAATTTTTTGTTGATTTCAGAGAGGAAGGGAGAGGGAGAGAAAGACAGAAACATCAGTGATGAGAGAGTCATTGATTGGCTGCCTCCTGCACACCGTACCCTGCTGGGGATCAAGCCCGAAACCCAGGCTTGTGCCCTGACCAGGAATCAAACCAAGATCTCCTGGATCATAGGTTGACACTCAACCACTGAGCCATGCAGGCCTTGATCTTGGAGAAAGCTTTCTGTCTTTTACCATTAAGTATGATGTTAGCTGTGGGGTTTTCATGGATGGTTTCAATCATATTGAGGAAGTTCCCTTCTATTCCTAATCACTACTCACTTTAGCCTCAGCCACTCTCAGCTTCTATTTTAAAACACTCTAGCCCGGTCGGTCATGGCTCAGTGGTTGAGCGTCGACCTGGGATCTAGGCGATCGGGGTTCAGTTCCTGGTCAGGGCACATTCCCAGGTCGTGTGCTCGATCAGTGACTCTCATCATTGATGTTTCTGTCTCTCTCCCTCTCCTTTCCTCTCTCTGAAGTCAATAAAAATATATTAAAAAAAAAAAAAAAGTAAAACATCTAGATCCGCCCCACCGGTGTGGGCTCAGTGGTTGAGCATCAACTTATGATCCAGGAGATTGCAGTTTGATTCCCAGTCAGGACACATGCCCTGGTTGCAGGCTCAATCCCCAGCAGGGGGCGTGCAGGAGGCAGCCAATCAATGACCCTCTCTCATCATTGATGTTTCTCTCTCTCCCTCTCTGAAATCAATAAAAACATATTTTTAAAAAAGTTTAAAACACACTAGATCCTTTTATACCTCTGTCTTTACATGTGCTGTTCTTTCTCCTGGTTGCAAGTTAGACTTTAACTTCTCCCAGGACAGAGGCTGTATCTTTTGAATCCTCAGCAGTTTCCACAGTGCCTGGCATTTGAACTGATGCTCAGTAAATAGGAGAATGATCTGTTGGTTCTTCTGCTTTCTACCCATTAATCTCAAAGGTAACCAAGCAATTCTCCACACCCAGCCTAGCCTTCTAATCGTAAATATGCTAATAAACCTTCAGTCTGGGCAAATGCTTTCACTTTTTCACTCAGGTTGGATGCCAGTGAGATCCAGGTGGATGAAACTATCTTCTTGCTGGAGTCGTACATAGAGAGCACCATGAAGAGGCAGTGACCCTGCAGAAGAGTCTTCCTCAGAGATCTGAGGGATTGGAAGGAAAAATGAAGGAGGCACCTGGATGCATTCTTTGCAGTGGGATAAGTTACAGATTCTTGTACTGAAACCCTCTGTCCCTACCTCCTAGAATACACCAGTTTGCTGATCCTGTCTTCAGCCCATCACTACATTCTCTCCTCCTTGGCAGGAGAAACTTAGTTCCCACCAAGAAGTCAGCCAAGTCTGTTTGAACATTCCTGGCAGTGGAAGAAACTTCTTCCTAAGCAGTTCATTCCATTTTCAAAAAGCTACACCTGTTCTTTGTTACACTGTAATCTTAAACTCATACACACAATGTAGGGAATATAATATGAAAGACTACCACCTTGTAGGGGAAAAGGCTAGTCTCAGGGCTAGCAGGTGGATTGCCCCAAGCAATCCCTCTAGAATCTATGGATAGAAGCCACATTTGCCAGCTCCAGGCAAATTATGCATGTAAAACACCTAGCACAGCACAGCCAGGCGTGGCTCATCGGTTGAGCGTCAACCTAGGATCTAGGCGATCAGGGTTCAATTCCCAGTCAGGGCACATGCCCGGGTTGTGGGCTAAATCAATGACTCTCTCATCATTGATGTTTCTGTCTCTCCCACCCCTCTCCTTTCCTCTCTCTGAAATCAATAAAGACATATTTAAAAAAAACAAAAAAAAACACAATAGCCAGCATATGGTAAGTACTCAATAAATCATTGCCTTTCTCCTCATGGTTCCTTAAAAGCAGCAATTCTAAGTTTTCTCAGTACCATGATTAATATAGTAGTTGATATAATCTGTCACAGCGGCATCAGTTCATTTAAAGCAGTTAAGCGTTGTTTTATAATCAATTTCCTCTTACCAGTGTTGGTTCTAATTCATTAAATGTTTGAGTGCCAATTAATTGCTAGCCATTATACTAGATGTAATATAGAAGNGTTTTATAATCAATTTCCTCTTACCAGTGTTGGTTCTAATTCATTAAACGTTTGAGTGCCAATTAATTGCTAGCCATTATACTAGATGTAATATAGAAGATAAACAAGATACCATCTCTGCCTTCAGGCTACTCACCATCATTTACTGAGCACCTATTATATTCCCAGTACTAGGCCAGACCTTGGGGGTACACAGATGACTATGCCTTAAGAATACAGCCTAGTGAGAGGAGACAAATAAGTACAAAGAAGTATTGGGTGGTGGGCCTGTCATGGAAAGTCTCGTGTACAGAGAGACCTCGGGGAAAGGCCATGGGGAAAGTGAGAGGATTTGCCAGGTGGAAGGGGAGAACAGTCCCAGAGCCGAGCAGAGCCTGGTTCTTGGGGGAGCTGCAAATAGACATGACTAGAAAAAGACCTGAGTCCTGCCGGAACTGAGGTGAAAGAAAGGGGAGGTGTCAAAAATGTTTTGTGGGTATCTGATTAGGCGACAGATGTAATTAATTTGAGGCGATACCTGCTGTAGCAGGTGTGCAGCGTTGTGGAGAGGTGCTTACAGTTCAGCCCCTGGCCGGTGGGAGGGGACATGAGCCCAGAAATCATTCGGTCTGGGGATCATTGTCCTAAACAGGTGGGAAGAAGAGAACAGCTGACGATTCGGAGGTGGTCTCCTTTGTCATTTATTAACATTGTACCCAAGGGTCACCCCCAAATGTTACACCTAAAATTTCCCGGGACATTCGGGAATCCTGGCTGCTTCCGACCCCGCGACCGAGGGGAGGCGCCGCTGGGCCACCAGAGGGCGCCAACGGGACGCGGGGACCGGGGCCTCGGCATGGCGGCGGCGCGGGTGCTGGT